ATATATGATTAGAAAATTTGAAAAGTTTATTGTACAGATTATTCTACAATATTTTACAAGCCTCAAGAGTCAGTCAAAGTAGATTGTAAAAGAATTACTTTTTTTACGTCAAAGGAGGAGATAAGAAGTGCAGATGATGAGGATATATAGGAAATATAGATACATAGACTTGAAGAGATTCATGGTGTAGTGATCAAGGAAGCACAAACTTGGGAGTCTGTTCCATGAAGTAAAAGGTTTTCCGATGAAATTCCTTACCAAGGAATACGAAGAGAATCTCGATGATTCAACTTGCTGTGAGCAGTGTAGTTTGTGGGCCAGTAGACATTTTATGTATATATATATATATATATATATATATATATATATATATATATATATATATGTTATATATATATATATATATATATATATATATATATATATATATATATATATATATATATATATATATATATATATATATATATATATATATATATATATATATATATATATATATATATATATATATATATATATATATATATGTATATATAAATACAAAGAAAAGAACAGTAAGATATATAATCCGGCGTTCTTATAGATATTCTTATTTTTTTAAAAAATAGTGCTAAATGTAAATTTACAGACCATTAATATTATAAATTCACTGATTTAAAATATGTTTTTTCGCTACCCAATTCTAACCATGTTTCAAAAATGGAAGCTAAAAGCTTAGGATTTAATTTTGTAATTAAATTAAAGACATTAGTTCCATTTTATCCTCAAGGGAATTTTGGAGTAACTTATATTTTAAAATTACTGTGGTTTAAAGGCACTGTAAAAATTCATTTTTCCAAGGATACAGAGAAACCCATTCATCCAGACAAGGGGTGGTTGCGAGTTCATTATCGCTGTATTTTGATGTATCAGTTATTAGTTACGTTTAGCTAGGGGCAGGGATGTATTTTTCAACGAATTCTGACATCCGTTAAATGCATGTCGTCTGGATTTTTTGTAATGCAAATGTTATATATATATATATATATATATAGATGTAGATATATAAATATATATACATATATATATATATATATATATATATATATATATATATATATATATATATATATAAATTATATATGGTTATTATATATATATATATATATATAGACATATATATATGTATGTATATGTAGACATTATATATATATATATATGTAGACATTTTAGATATATATACATGTATATGTAGACAATATATATATATATACATATATATGTATATGTAGACATTTTATATTTATATATATATATATATGTATATGTAGATCTTACTTATTATAAAACGCAGGTTTTGTGTGTGTGTGTATGTGTGTGTTTGTAACGTTTATATGTTGGATCGAATTTTCTACATTTTTAGCCGATTTCAACAAAACTTCACAGGACTGCATAAAATTACCTTGTGGTGGTTCTAAATGGAAAAAACACAGTTGTATTTTTAATAAAATCATTTTTGTAAACACGATTAAGACATTGAGAATGAAAGGGGAGAACTCACCCACGAAAATGTAAACAAATGAGCATAGCATGATGAAAAAATGAACTTGACGAAAAACAAAATTTTATCGTCTAATGTTCATATTATTATTAAAGAGGAAAGATCAAAGTATTTTTGGGGGTTTTTTTTACATTTTTAATCGTTCCTAGCACGTCTGAAATTTTCGTTAAAAATATTGTTTTTTTTTTGGTAAAAAAAGACAATCATTTTCAATCATTTTTTTCGATTTGATAAAAAGATTAAAATCTTACTTTGATATTCTTTTTAAAATCAATTATCATTTTTCAAAACTGATTTTAATAAAAACAGAAATTATACTGTTTATTTAAAATATTTTGAACCAAGCTTAACTTAGCTTCTGCGCCAAAAAAAATGTAATTTGAAAATAAAACAAAGCCGGTCATAACCTTTCGCGTCGCTTGACGATTGACGAAAGGCACATTCATGACGTTTAGATAACTTACGGGATGAGAATTTTTTCTACGGATGGAAGGAAGTGAAATTATTTAAGTGAACAAATTATTTACCTTGTTACTTTTTAAGGAAAACTTTCAGCGCTCTAATTATTTTTTTTTTTTTTTTTTTACTTAGCTTTCATTTTTTTACGTTTACGATGCTTTATGGAAAAATATAAAGAAATTAAAAATAAGACTGTTAATAGTGAGATTAAATTTCATAAGAAAAAAGGTATCTAATTAATTTAGGTACCTTTTCTTGTGAAATTTTATCAGAAGTGTACATAAAATACTATAATTTTATGTACATTTATTACATTTACTGTGTTATTTGTATTTCCATTCATTTTATTATTAATTTTGATATTTCATCTATGGAAAAATGTCATAACTGAGATAATTATAAAAATAAGATCATATAAATTAAAGTTTAGCAGTAGTTAAATTTCATAAGATGATATTGTTACTTGTAGGTACCCTTCTCAGTTGAAATTGAAAACTCAAATTAACTTCTCCATACGTGTTTCGCAAAAGTAAAGGGCTTAACAGCGGAGAACAATGCTGAACTCAAATAATGCAACTAAATTGTATTCTGGTTGGTCTTCCGTACTTGATAATTACTGTCCGACTATAAACACAAAAATTACATTTTTAATTACCATGGCTATTCTGATTGGTCCAAATTATACAATTTTCAAAGCGCCAGACAATGACAATCTCACACGGACATTTTGAAAGGTTGATGTTGCTTTTAACTAATGTTAAAATATTTTTTTAAATTCAATTTAAACATTTTTAAAAGTCTTTTAAAATTAAAGAAATAAGAAATAATTGTATTAAAAATTCAATTTTCATTGAAAAACTTTTGCTTTCAGAAAATATTGTCCATATTCATAAAAACAAATTAAAACAAATAAAAGCATTTGAAACTAAATAATATATTTGTTTTATTGAGTTTTGTATGTTACAATTCACAGCTGATTTTCAGTACGTTGGCCAAAAAAACATGATTTGCATTCTTCAAAGCCTTGTGATTTTAACTATTGTAATCGCTAAAACCGATGGTCTCAATTTCTAGAGTTTTCATAAAATTAGTTATAGGGGTGTTAATAAATATAAAAAAAAATATTTCTGCCATGACTTTAATAAAAAAAAAACATATTTATAATAATTTCGATCATCTGTGAATAGTTTCTGAAAGTTTCATTAATATCTGACAATTATTTTTATTTTTGCAAGATTTTCCAAATTAATGTTTGTAAATACAAAAAAACGCGCTAAAAATTATCTATGTCATTTACTACACCTTGTTGCGACAAAGAGAAACAAGGTTTTTTAAAAAACTTTAGTCTATCCTCTTCATAAAAACATAAGCATTTTGACGATAAAATTTTGTTTTCATAAACTTTGGCGTCTTTTTCATCAGACTATGCTCTATGTTTTAGCGATTCCGTGGAGTGACTTAGGTTAAAAAACCCAGTTTGTTTATGTGTGTGTGTGTGTGTGTTTGTGTGTGTGTTTGTGTGTGTGTGTTCCTTTATATATGGGATCGGATTTCTTACATTTTTCAGCCGATAAAACAGACATCCACTTTTTTTTCGGCAGGTAGTATTTCTTATTGTCTTGCACACTTTTTTCTTTATTTACATTCAGAATGCTTTAAAATTCCATTTACAAGACAATTGTTTATAATAAAAATTCTATTCACCAATCGATAGACTCATAACGATTGTATACAATGTTTTTGTTTGAATTTGGGCTTGACCAATTGTAAAAAAAAAACTAATTAAGACATGTGTTTCGTCAACCTTAAACAATAATCTTTTGTCAATTTTATTTTTCAGTCTTTATGATGGTCGATACTTGATCTATCTCTTACTGTTACATCCCCGGGAAACGCCGGGCTCTACTGCTAGTATTTTATATATATATACATATATATGTATATGTAGACATTTTATATTTATTTATGTATACATATATATGTATATGTAAATATTATATATATATACATATATATGTATATGTAGACATTTTATATTTATATATGTATACATATATATGTATATGTAGATAATATATATATATATATATATATATATATATACCTATGAAGAAAAATTTTGAAAAAACAAACAAAAATCCTTAAATGTAGTTAAAATGAAAGAAATGTCGACGTCTGACGTTTCGGTTTAATAAACCTTTTTCAAGACAATATTCATTAAAATACAATTCAGTCCAATTTAACAAAGACGATGGACATAAAAACACAAGTCTTATTCAAAACAGATAACTATATATTTGTAACTGAAAATTTTTAAAATGATCAGCCTTCCGTCTAACATGGTCACGCCGTCGTCACATGGGCGACGCTTTCATTTCATTCCTAAAAGTTTGTGATTATTTTGAAATGAAAAAGAAAATGAAAAGAATTCTATTAGGTTCTAAAATTTTATGTGTATGCTTGTCGAGCATCAATCTCGCTAAAAAGGGGAAATATTAAAGAAACCAGGTCTAGTATTCACTGTGCGTGAGATGGATATTATACCTGCTTCATAAATCCTCCTGAGATTTTTATTATGAAAATATTTTAATACTTTCACGGAATCGAAATCGAATATGATCTGCTTTAGTTGTGTGTACAACTAAAGCATTGTTAAAATTACCGAGACGAATATCTCGTTTATGTTCGAAAACACGAGATTTTAAGGACCTACCTGTTTCACCCACATATTTTAGGTCACAATTTTTGCATGATATTTGATAGATGCAAGCATCGGATGTAATATGTTGTCTGCTGGTGCTATTTAATAAACTACGGATAGTCCTAGTAGGTAATATAGTAGTTCTAATTTTAATGCATTTAGATTATGAGAGATACGTTCGGTCAAATGGTATTTGGTAAAAAGATGCGACCAAACGAAATATTATCAGAGGCAGCTGAAATTGTATCTTTCATTGATCTAGTTAGTGGCCTTTGAGGTGTCATTTTGCGCTGATGA